GTGTAACACACACACACTTTCACCTTAACTGCAAGGTTAACTCCAACCTGGAGGCATCTCATGCTCTGCGAGACTGCAGTGATATAGCAGTGGTATATGTGTGTATGTTTGTGTGTTATCATGCACTTGACTATTTGGTCTCGTTCTCCACTGCCATTGCTGAGGGCAAGATCACATTTCACCCTACCACAGAGTATTGCAACCCTGCATCTCTTCCTTTTTTCTCGCTGTATTTCTCTCTCTCACTAAAGTCAGCATTGTATCGCTGCCAGTTGTCAGAAAACATCGCTGTAATGGCTGTAATGAAAGAAAACACTCAGAATCTTTTTCTTTGTTATTTGCACCCAGTCTACTCTTTTTCACACACAGCAGTCCTTTAAGTGGATGTAGTGTAAGTATTTAACAAAAGCACGATTAGCCGGATGTAGTCTCTGCAGTGGCGCGAGCCAAAGACTGCAGAGCCAATAGAAGGAATTCTCCAGACAATAATGAGAGGACTGAGGATGAGAGAGAGACTTGCACACTTATTCACAGGAAGATGTCCTGAGGGAGTGACGTGTGCCTGCCTGCATGCTCTGATAGTGCACTGCTCCGTGCCAAACGGAGTCTCCCAAACACCCCTGCTGAAAGAATCTGTGGCTCTGCCATTGGAAAAAAAAAAAGCCATGTTGGCTCTGCCTATAGGGCAATACCGACTGCTCAAGAAATCCGGTGCTTTCTTACTCTTGTGATCACTAGCATGCTAAAAAAAAGAAAATTTTCTTTATCAGAATATTAAATATCAAAGTAATAATTGTTTTCCATTAGCAAATCAATGTTATTTTAGTGTTATGTAATATTATAGTCTTTATTAATATTTTGAATTGGCTTTTATTTTTAAATTTCCAGTTTTCATTTTAATAAAAAAATATATAATTTAATACATTTAAAAAATAATTAATTAGTCAAATAAATTAGCTTTTTAAATATTTCTGTTTATCTTTAATTAATTTTTATTTCACAACCAACAATTTTGCTTTTACATAAGTGCAAAGAAAAAAATAAGGTTTTAAATATCACTTATGTATGTTATATATTTAATAATTTGTAATTTTATATGTATTTAATAATTTTGTGTATTTAGGATACATAAAATTCTAGTTTTTAAAAGCATAAGTCTTAGCAAAGAAAAGGAATCGGCTAAATTAATCCAGAAATGTTTAAAATGTAATTTCCATAAACAGTGGTCATTTTATATATATTTTTAGTACTTCAACTTAAATTTTATTAGCTAGTTGCCAAGGCAATGTTTTATTTAATATTTATATTTTATTTCTGCTTTATTTCAGTTAGCAAAAACAATGTTTAATAGACTTTTAGTTTTAGTTCAGAGTAACAACACTGTGGGAAATGAAAATCAGTGTTTAAAATTGTATGTGCATGTTTACCTAATAGAGTGTTTGTGTGTGCTGTGAATGCCTATGTATGAGTGTTTATGTATGTGTTTGAAAGGTTCACATGTAGTATAACACCCTAACCTGTCGTACAGAGGTCAGTTCAATAGCGCTGTCCGATTCAGAACTTTGTAACCTTCAGTTTGGCTCCTGCAGTGATGGAGTTACACTCAAAGCAATTCATCTCCTTTCTCATTTCCTCCCACTTGGATGGGGTCAGGCTGCCAGTAATCAGTGTTTGCAAGTGCATTTTTTTCAGAGTTGGAGTGGGAGGCAAAGCAGCAGTTTAGAGTTCTTTATACATTATTCATTATGGCACATAAGAAACAACAGCCTGGAGTAGAATTGGAAAGAAGCTTCTCTTACACCCAGTACAACCCACGAACTGTGATGTTGTACCTCTCATCCCTCTTTAGATTATAAATCCATTTATTAGCTTGTTTTTTTCCCCACACATAACTGTTCTACAGGATTTGTCCAAATGTACATCAGTTTTTACACAAACTTGTGAAGCAGTTCAAGTTGTACGGCCATTAAAGCAGGGTTCCCAGAGTCCTGGAAAACGAGGATAATCAGACAATGTAAAAAGTGGGATTTCTGTTCCTGGAAAAGTAATATTTTTTATTTTATTTACATTTTATTTTATTTATATATATATATATATACATATTTGGCTATAAAATACTGTGGCTAAGTACTGGTGAGACCTTTTTTAAATTCCTACTCTAGTCATCTTAGACTTGAAAAGTCAAAGAAATTCATTGATCATAAACCTTTGGAATCCTGTTTAAAAAAAACATACAAAATACTACAAAATTCAGAAATTGTAACTAAAGTTTTTCACTCATTGTGATGCTGATATTATAATTAGTAGTGATTTTATTATTATTATTATTAAAAGTAAACAAAGTAAATATAATTAATAATTATTCTTAAATATATTTTTTAATTAACCAGGCTATTGTGCATGCAAATAATTAGCACATAATTAGTAAATAATTAGTTCTTTTTAAGGGTCTGATTTCCTTTCCTAAAGCTGCAGTATTGAGTGTCCTCCATTCATATTTTTTGTGACTACTCAGGCTCTGCCGTGGCCTGTGTGTTACCACATACACATTGAACTGTGCTAGCTATGTGTGTAATGTGAGTTCATGTTTGGTTTTTGTCATTTCCTTCCATTCACCATCATTTCTGTCTTCTCTATACTACACCTGTCAATAAACTGGCATAAAGGCCAAAAATAGAATGAAGAAGCGGTCACGCATCTGGTCAGGATTGAATCGCCTGTACACAGTGTAGTCATAAAGCTGTCGGGCGTCTCGCACTGCATGCCACAGTACAGTTGTCCGTGATCTTTAATGAGCAGTGTAGCTGTCACTTTGTCTGAGATCAAAGGATTTTTCATGTCCTTAGTTTTATTTCATGTCAGTGTCTCATGGGATGTCTGGAGTAGCAGGAAACGGAAAAGCAGGCCGAAAGAACAGTCTGAATGACAATAACTCTCATGCCTTTGTTTTAAAAGCTTCAGACACATGAAGAGGACAGATACTGTCTTTGATCAGCGCCCCAAATTACACTTTAATTATGAATCGTGGTATACATGAAGATGTGACGGAAACTGTGTGGTTGTGTTTTTGTTAACATGTGCCACTGTATGTGAAGAAAGAACAGCAAGCATTAGGGGAAAAATAAGGTTTGTTTTGGTTGTTGGTTGATGTATGAGAGATTGAAAGTTTACATCTTATTGGTCCGTTGCTTGTTTCTGATGTGATGGAGCTGTCAGTCTTCAGTGGGGGATTTTGAGTGGCAGCTCTCAGCTGTTCTGTCGTCGTTAATCATCTCTTAATCAGAACGGCAGTGGAGGAGGGGCAGGAGACGCAATCCAGCTCAGTCTGTTACATTCACACAGTATGTATTTTGAACACAACAGGAAATAGTCTTCCAGTTTAGACAAGGATAACAGACTCATCTGAATATGCCTACTTCTCTACTATATAGTAAGCGAAATGAGTAGTAGTATGTCCAAATTTGATAAAACAGTAGGCAAAAAGTACCCAGATGACCTACTACTTATGGCGAGATTGTATTGTGTATAAAAAGGATACTTTACTATCCCATTGTGCTATGGAGAGGATTCATAAATGGTGGGTGTGTGATGCTCAAGTTGTAGGTCACATGACAGTACCAACATGGTGGGTGTATTATGTCCGGATTACATTCATACTACACAAATTTATAAATAGAACATTTTTTTATAGCTGCAAAATAAATACTTTTTCAAATGTGGTACCTACTCGGAAAGTATGTGATTTCTGGACTTTTTTCCTATTTAGCTAGCTGTCTTGAGAGAGTACCATTGTTTTGTATTGTATATGTTATATTTCATTCCATGGGCTTCTGTTTTTGATATGTATCTTTTTTTATCATTAATATATATCAATCCTTATTGTGCCCCTTTTACTAGATTAGTTAAAATTAAAATTAATTAATTAATTAAATAATTAATATTGCCATTGGAATTAGGAACGTGTTGTAAACTTAATTCTAAATATATTTTCTAGAAAAAAAATCTTAATATTTCATGCTTCACTTTTCAAGTAAGTGTGTCTTGTTTTAAGGATATTAATATATTTGCAAAGCGTTTGCTCATAAATGTTGAATACTGTTCCTAAAGTGTTGAATGTGTGCTGGTTGTATCTTGGAGTTTGTCTAACCAGCATTGAACACAAAATGGTTGGATTTGACATTATTCTGACAGCAGGAGAGCGTCTTAATCAAATCTTTATCAGCATGTTCAGACATCATCGTCATCACCAATCTGTTACACACTCAAGCAGAAGAACTTCAGCTCACAGTTTTCTTTGAATTATTTACAGTTTTCTCTTTCTGTCTTGTCTCTTTAGCGCCTTCCCAGGTTAACGAGCTGCGAGCCGAGAAGGTTGAGCAGCGCAGTGTGACTCTGGCTTGGAGGGAACCCGTCGTGTATCCCAACAGCAGCCGCACTGAATACGAGATCAAATACTATGAAAAGGTAGTTACATGCTCTGTCCTCTCCACAAAGCATTGAATCTGTGTACAGCCACACTAAACGGCAGGTTCCCACAGGCCTGTAGCTCATTGACCATTCTGTCAGGTGCAGTAGTGCTTTAAAACATGTAGCTGCCAGACATTGATGTCTGTTCAAACTCCTGCCAGCACTGAGAAAAAGAAAAAAAATACACAATAATGCATTTCTTATGAACACAGTGTGTTCACATTCAAAATCTTACACAGATTATAGTTCGTAAGCAGATAACATGTAATGCAAACCACTTAAATGTTATTTTGTTGTTGTTTTTAATCAGAGAAAGGGAAATCAGGGAAAATCAATCCAAACATTTCTGACTGTGTAACGGCTGATGTCAAGAATAGAGAAAATCTTGTTCATTTTAAGATCTCATGTAAATTTAGGGTGTCTTTTTTTTCTCTTAATTTTTTCGATTTTCAAGTTAACCCTTAAAGCAAGTTTTTATAATGAGTTAACTTTTGATAGTTTGTTTTGCTGTGCATATAAGCATGTTTCATTTCCTACGGGCTCCCAGACATTGATTTTTATTAAGGCCAGGGATTTTTTTTAATGAAGCTTTAAAATTGTAATTTTAGCATGCTTTCATAATTTACTTTTGATACTTATCAAATAGTTTTTATCTATAGATTTTATTGTTTTACTTGTTTTTTTCTAAATAAAGAGTGAAATAATCACAAACCATTTCAGTGTTTATTTTGGGAAAATTATTTATATTTATATAAATATTTATATTGTCCCTCAGTTGCGGTGTGAATTAAGGTAAAAAAAAAAATTATAATAATAATTAAAGGTAGAATCATTTCTGAAGGATCGTGTGACACTGAAGACAAAAGAGAAAGACAGTATTATTCCAGAAATGTTTAAAATATTATTTCCATCACTGTCATTTACTTCCATAGACTCATTGGTGGTTGTTTTATGGACATATTTCTGTGTTCCTTCAGGACCAGAAAGATCAGAGCTATTCCACAGTAAAGACGGCCGCCACCAGAATTAGCGTCAACAACCTGAAACCAGGCACCACCTACGTCTTCCTCATCCGCACCTGCTCCAGCCCAGCACTTTCATCTCTTTCCTCCTCTCCTCTTTCTTCTTCTTCTTCCTCCTCCTCCTCCTCCTCTTTGTCTCCATCTTCGCCGTCTGCTTCCTCTTCCTCTTCCAGCCCTGTGGCAGCTGTGTCGCCCCCTACGCTTGACTACGGGGCGTACAGCGCACCGCTGGAGCTGCAGACGCTGGTGGAACGTGAGTGTCTCTCTTTGTTTTAGAAGAAAGAATGAATGTGTGGTGTAAAATTGTTGTGAACTGTACCTTTTTTTTATTCATTTCATGTTAGTACACAAAACATGTTGGCTTTACAGTGAAACAATGACTTTAAAGTGCAAATGCTTGCTGTCATCTTTAATTTAAGAGGACACATTCATATTGAATGAACACTTTGGAAGGACTTTCACATGTGATCTCATCCTGCTCCTTCATTGTAGCACTCAAACAAGTATTTGAACAGCTTTAGATTATGCAGAACAAAGCTGCAATCTTTGGTGGCTGGTTGCAAACCATTTGGACTGAATGAGTGTCATTCCAGATCCTGTCGAGTGTCGCTCCACTAGCTTTTGCTCCTAACAGCTTGGGGTTTTTCTCAAATGTGAAATGCTCCGCTAGGTTCAAAATGGTTGATTAAATCAAATAGTAGAGAATTTTTCACTTCTAAGCATTCAAAAAAACTTTAATTGTATGTTGTGAAGTCATTTTGACACTTAAAGGTGGAGCATGTTTGTATTTCTGAGGGGACCTCGTAGTAAAATTTAAATGTAAAATTATATTTACTAATGAAAGTAATATTATATTATACAGGTGCATCTCAATAAATTAGAATGTCGTGGAAAAGTTCATTTATTTCAGTAATTCAACTCAAATTGTGAAACTCGTGTATTAAATCAATTCAATGCACACAGACTGAAGTAGTTTAAGTCTTTGGTTCTTTTAATTGTGATGATTTTGGCTCACATTTAACAAAAACCCACCAACTCACTATCTCAACAAATTAGAATACTCCATAAGACCAATAAAAAAAA